TCACCCGTTTCCACCCAGCACTTCCGCCACCCCTCCTCCAGCCCGCTTAGGCTGCCGACCTCCAGGCCACTGCCTCCCGCCGGCCATCCACCTTGCACACCGTGGCTGCCCCTTTCCTCCCTCGTCTAGCCGCCGGCTTCCCTCTCCTTGAATTTCAAAATTTGAAATTCAAATGTTTTATGGGCCATTAATTGTTTCCTAAAGTAGCTCCTTAATTTACGCCATCAATTTAATTGATTTTAATTTCAAATTTGAAATTCAAATTGCTTAAATTGATTACCCTCCTAAATTGAAGTTTTCTTTCCTTAAGAAAACTGAAAATTTATTTCAGATTTTTGTAAAAATCTGAAATTAAATTGGTGGTTCCCACTTATTCCAAAACTCACCCCTCTCTCCTCCTTATGTGGCCGGCCCCCTCATTGGGCATAATCTCTCTCCTATCTCATTAATAGGTCCCCTCATTAAGCCTCCATAATTACCTCCCACAATTCCCTCTCATCCTATTTAATTCTCCCCATTAAATTTGAGTTTAAATTCAAATTCATCTCGTCAATTCCACTTAATCTGAAATTTAATTTCAGATTTCCATTCTCTCTCCCCAAATTGATTTGGGATTTAATTAATCTTGCCACCTAGGCAAGTAAATGACATTTACGTTTCACATCAAAAACAAGCTCCTGTTTGTAGTTTGCTAATGAACTCCTTAACATTGTTGATGTTCATTGCAATGCTTTTCTTGTATGTACATGTAAAATTAATAGGTCAGTATGTTTTGTACATTTCTAAATTCGATATTCAATTCTAGCCTCAGCTAATGTTAAGCCACCATGTATGTCTTGGCTAAATTTTTAGCTAGATATCCATCTAGTTTCTTGGGATGCTTATTTTCTCTCCAGGGATAGTTTGCTTTCTTTTAGGTCTTTAACTGTGATCCACCTGACCGTGGAACTGAAAGTTTGTTTCTGAATTAGATTGAGTTGGCTAATTTTGTTATGTTTTATAGGGGGCGTTTTTTTGGTTTTAAAATCTTTGTAACGGATCCTTTATTTCAGTAATTGGCTTTAGCTTTAGGTCTGTGTGATCCACCTGAGCTGTGGGACTGAAAAGCTGTCAGAAATAGATTAAATTGGCTAATTCAATTAGTTTTATACGGGGCATTTTTTGGTTTAAAATCTTAGGAACGGATCATTGATTTCAGTTTTTGTTTTTACCTTCAGTAGCTCAAACTAACTTGGCCAAATGCTTTACCCTTTAACATAGTTAAACTATGTTGCTTAGGGAGGTTGATCGGTCAAATAGATAGTGGAAACAATCTCATATCAACGTGGGTTTTTTTCAGCAACTAATACATCTGTGTTAGGCATCTGGTTTCTTAAAATGTGACTGATCTCAGACCGCATCATCTCATTATAGATTAAGTTGGTTCAATAAAATGTTTGGCTCAGGCAAATTTTAATGTTTCTGCAAAAAACTAGAATTGATTAAGTTTTTCAATCTGGGAAACAATAATAGTGTCTCAAGATGATCATATCTCTGATACCTTTGTTTTTATTACCGGTAAAAGTTATGGTTAGTGGTTCTTATTTTGTCTTTTTCATCATAAAGTCTTAAAATCAGTTATCCGATTGCCATATGCGGGCATATAAATCTTTACAAAATAGTTTTCAAGAGGAGTAAGATCCCTAAATTGGTTTAAAGCTTCTCTTTACCTTTCTATTTAACTTTTGGATTTGCAACTTCTTAAATATGAGCAATATAGCTAGATTTGTTTGTGACTGCGCCAAGTCAAATGGGTATTGCTTTATTTAACTCCAATGGAAGATAATATTAGAGAGAGTCACCTCTAGATGGTTTGGTTACATAAAGTAAAAGCCTCGGATGGCTTAATTAGGAGAGTAAATGTATTAGGTCGGGCCTATATTAAAAAATGTAAATGTAGATCTAAAAAGACTTGGGTTAGAAAGTATTATAAATAACCTTTGTTTATTAAATTTAAATGAAAATTTGACTCTTAATGGAACACAATGAATAAAAAGGATTTATGTAGCCGACTCCACGTAATGTGATAAAGGCTTATTGTTATTGTTAATTTTGGTAATACTGGATTTACATACATGTATATGAAGAGGTGTAACACAGTAACAGCTATCTACTGGTGTCCTTCTTTACAAACAAAAATTGCAATTCTTTGAGATTCACATAACCATAATAATCTTTGTAACTAATACTTTATCATTGGAACTTTATATTTTGAAGATCGTTTATTTTAAGGAAACTGTATATTGCGTCTTTAAAAGCCTCTATCCTGGCCTTTTGAATGTCGTCCAATATCTATTGCATGGGTACATTAGCTTTTGCAATAACTCCTACATTTTTTTATTCTTGATGATGTAATTTTGAAAAACAAAAATCTATGCTTCTATGTTCTGGGTGCATATTTATTTCTTCCGCGCTTTCAGGATTTTTCTTATCTATTTTTATTGTTCTTGTTGTTATCAAGTTAGGAAGTAGTGTTATTTAATAATCTCTTTACACTATATACATTTTTTTCTTTTATAAGTTGCTGCGTAATGAATTTTTATGGAGCATATTGGTTGTCTTGCAGTTGTCCTCTGAGAGATTTGCACATTTTATGAGAAAGCATGTGACAATCTTGATGTTAGAATTGATTTTTGTTCATGATAAAGCATTTATTTTTCATATATAAACTTATTGACGTCATTATTGGATGTTTTGCAAGTTAGCAACTTCTTCTAATTATTCTTATCCACAGGTCCGACAATTCTCTTCTTCCAAGAAAATGCTGGCAGTATCCTGAAATTAGTTAAATTCAAACCATTTTTATATTGAAAAAGTTTAGCTTTTTTTGTTGAGTTTTAATGATATACTCTAGATATTGCCCATCGTCTTGAATTTGTCCGGATAATGATGCAAAAACTGCATTGCAATGTGTTTATGCTGTCATATCGAGGGTACATTTCTTTGATAAATGATATTTGTGTTTTCCAAATAGTTCTTTATCTCTACTTGTTTTAACCAATTTTATCATTGATATTAGAAGTTTGAAAATGCATGTAAATTTTCATTGAAAATAGGTATGGAGCAAGTGATGGCTATCCATCTCAACACGGAATAACGAAGGATGCTCAGGTTTGCTTAGATGTTGCATTTCTTCTATCTATACAAATCTTTTAATATATACATTCTAGTTATTCTTTGTTTAGTTCCTGTTTCCATTGTACCTAGGCAGCATTGGACCATTTATGTAACAGAAGCGATGTGGACTCATCTAGAATAGTTATTTTTGGAAGATCTTTAGGTGGTGCAGTTGGTTCAGTGCTTGCATGGAACAATCCTGATAAGGTATTTCAATAGAACTACGTGTAATTGTTCATTGGAAGCTGATATAACTTCACTAGCTCTTTGCGTAGAATTGGATCTGTTAGTAGCATTTTGCCTGTTCTTATCGATAACGGGTCTCATGCCTACTTATCTATAATCAGCTTTGTGTTCTATTTTAATTAATAAAACATTAATATTACATGTCTATCATCCATAGAATAAATTTGGGTGCATGGAATGAAATATTAAAGTTTTTAGGATGGTATGAATGGTAGAAATGAATTATAGGAATGGTATATTTTATATTAAAATTTTATATGGGTGGTATGCATGTAATATTAATATTTTGGGTGTTAGATATGTAAATAGCATGAAATAAAGTAGTATGTATGTAAATTTCCCTTAATAAAATATTTGTTATAGGTTTCTATCCTTAAAAAAACAAAAGTTGATATAACTTCCTCTCAAAGGTTGAGCTAAATTTAAGCAGTGTTATTTTATGTGCTGACATCATTTCTTAGAAGAATTTATGTATGTATTCCTTGATTAGTCATGGACCAGACTAATACCTTTGTCAACTGAATTAAGATGGATATACCTCACAGCGCCATGCTAATGGATGTAATGATTCATCATGAATGTCTAACCTATACAACATTACATCAATAGAGTGATACTGCATCAATCAATTGAATATAGGTTGTTTGAGAATTATCCCGTTGAAAACATTATATTTCATCTTAGAATAATTTTATATGCGTTATGCATATCAAAGTGGTTCCAAAAGTATGGCCAACATATTGCTAGGATCATCCTTTTCATTTCATATGGATTCTCAATGCAAATGATATTCATGCTTCATATTTTATGTTATGTATAATTTATCATTGTTTTTGAAACTGATCTATCAGCATGTCTCTATTAAACACTTTTTTGTATTTATATTCTTTTGATAAGGTTGGTGCTTGTATTTTAATATTTATTTTTAATGTAGTTTATGCAATGATTGTGATTTTAGTAGTAATAGACCTAGTGAGGGGATTGTGACTTTGGGCGATCAAGTCATTAATAAGAGTATACGTTTTAGATATCTTGGATCTATTGTTCAAAGTGATGGTGAAATAGATGGGGATATTATCAATAGAATTCAAGTTGGATGGTTGAAGTGGAGGAATGCATCGGGCTTGTGTGTGATAGAAAAGTCCCCCTCAAACTTAAAAGGAAAATTCTATAAGATGGTAGTGAGACCTGCAATGCTTTGTGGTGCCGAATGTTGGCCATTAAAAGAGAAGCATAGTACTAAGTTAAGTGTTGTAGTGATGAGGATGCTCAGGTGGATGAGTGGCTTTGCCCTTAGAGATAGGATACGAAATGAGCATATACGTGAAAAGGTTGGAGTAGCTCCTATGGTAGATAAGATTAGAGAAAGTCGCCTTAGATGGTTTGGTCACATAAAACGGTGGGCTTCGGATGACCCGGTTAGGAAAGTAGAGGTATTAAATTTGACTTATGTTAAGAAAGATAGAAGTAGATCTGAAAAGACTTGGTAAGAAAATATTAGAAATAATCTTTCTTTAAATAAGAATTTGACTTTTAACAGGACACAATGGAGAAAAAAGGATTCATGTAGCCGACCCCATGTAGTGGGACAAAGACTTGATGTTGTTGTTGTAGTAGTTTATGCAATAAGTTTTTTCTTCAACAAACTTGCTTTATGCCATTGAGTGTATTATTTTTAACACTAGTTGGAATGACTGTCTTTCAATGCACAAGAAAGAACAAGATCTTCACTATTTGTAGTTTATTTTTTACACTAGTTTGATCATTCCAATCTTTTATTTGGCGTGTTTGATACATATGTGGATTTGAAAAAAGGATTATAATGGTCCATTGATTTTTTATGAAAGACCAAAATGGCCCCCAACTATATTAAATGATCATTTTGGTCTCTCGACTCCTTAAAAGAGGAATCAAAACAATCCCACAATGAGCTACTTTGATTCTTTTTAAAAACTTGAGGGGCCAAAATGGTCCTTTGATGGGGATCATTTTGATCTTTCATAAAGAGTTAGCGAACCATTTTGGTGATTTTCTCATGCTGATTTATTGGTGTACTGCATTGTACTTGATTTATTGGTGTATTTTGTACCAAAATTTCCAAGCATTTGACTTTTGTTTCAATACCGGATTGATATTAAAAGATTAATGTATGGTTAAAAGCTTGCACCAAACGAGAAGGATTTTTTATTTTATTTGGTTTGATAAGGAACTTATCATTGGCTTACTCAGGAAAAAAAAAGTGTTTATGAATTTTATATCAATTTACTTCTGAGGTGCTTTAACTAAAATTGTTTTCTTTGATTCCATTTCTTCAACTTTGAACCACATTGGACTAGGATGATTCTCCTGCTAAAAGATACATTTGTAGTCCAGGGCATGTATGATTCTGTTTATTGGTCTCAGCATTTCTTTTCTCATTTTGCAGGTCTCTGCTCTTATTTTGGAAAACACCTTCACCTCAATATTGGACATGGCTGGAATTATGCTTCCGTTTCTGAAATGGTTTATAGGTGGCAGGGGATCAAAAGGCCCAAAAGTTCTTAATTGTCTTGTACGATCGCCGTGGAGTACAATTGATGTCATTGGGAAGGTGAGTTATGGATCTTCGGCATTATCCTTGTGCCATTTCATTAATAAGATTAAGGAAAATTCATATTTTCATTATTTCTTAACATTTATTAGTTATTTCAGCTTCTATCACAAGCTTAAGATTTGGCTTCCAAGCAATTTAAGAATGATTGATATTGAAATGATTCATTATAATTAGGCTTGGAATGCTTCATTTTTGCAATTTGTAAAACTTTGTTGCTGTTTAGCTCATAAAAGTAAACGTGTTTTCTTCAGAAAGCTGTGCAGTAAATGATAGCTCATGAAAGAGACGAACAAACTCTGGAGAGGAGCTCGAGAAAGTTTTATTTTATTTATTTGTTTTTCTGTTGAGGTATATTGGATGTAGTTAACCACATTTACCTAACATTGAATTAAAGTTTATTTAGACTTATGGATTGAGACTTCCTATTAGCACAAGCACCCATAATTGATTACTACTGCCATCTTAGAGAGCACTCTCAATTGAGGAAATCGCTTTACTATATCATGCACAGAAGACTTGCTAGGTTTGAAACTTTTGAGAATAGGTTTTCGGAAGGACTAGTTTACCTTGTAAACATCTCATATTTTGGTCACCAAAATTTTTCAGCTCGACAATCTTTGGTTTTTAGAAAACCTTGGTTCACATGGTTGTGATTTGAGATATCTTTGTTAGCAAAAATTAGTTATCTCATCTAAGGAGCTTCCCAAAGATTAAAATTATCGAAGTGTGATAGGAAACACTTATAGAAATCAAAATTTATTTGACTGAATTTAAAATTTTAGTAAGATTCCAAACAAGAAATAAGTAGAATTTGGTGGAGACACTAACGAGAAACAAAGTTGATTGATAATAGAGGGAAGAAAATAACAATATACAATGGATCCCCCAATGGAGAGGAGGATTCGACTCTCCCAATCTCTAGCCATCGACAAGAGCCCAAACCAACCCTAAGAACAAACTAAATTCAGAAAACACTCAATATGCCTAACCCTAGGGAAAATCTCCTATTTAAAGCAAACAACAGATAGTAAACCCCAAAACAGCCCCTCCAATTTCATTTTCCCTCTGAATGACCCCCTAAAATCTTCTTTGATGACTGTTGGACCCCACATGGATAGAAAGCACGGGAGCCTCTGGGCGGAAATCCTGCCCCACTCCCGCTCTGCTCGTGGGCAGAAATCCCGCTTCTGCTTTGTCGTTTTGGCATGAGGCGGTCCCGTGTGTTGGACCTGGCTAGACTGGTCTATCAAAGTGTTACTCATTTTGAGAGCAAGCCTTGGCTTTTTCAAGAGATTTTTACAACATGGAGCCTTAGCATTCCAAACAAAGAAATAATGAAAATATGAATTCTCCTCAAACGATCAGGACCTTGGTCCTTTTTGAGGCCTTGCCCAGAATGAGCCTTAACTCATTACAAGTGTTTGTATGGCCAGATGACATTTTAGAGTCAGTCTTGACTGACTCTAGGAATTCTAACAATATGTAACCTTCACTCAAAGTTGCCAGGCAAATGAGGATCTTAATCAAATTGTTTGTGTTTAAGGCTTTAGTTTAAGTATGGTCTGTAACAGATCACTGACGCAGAATTTTTAAAGTAAAGCCTAGTAGAAGATTTCAACATCATGGAGCCTTGCTTACAGTCTGAAAGAATGATATAATTCTTCTGTTATTTTATGTTTTTAAGCTTTTAGCATAAAATTTGTAGCAACATTGTGAAGCTGACGCAACTCGCAAGATTATCAGAGCGAAGCCTAGGCTGCCTTTGAAGATTTCAGAAAGATAGAGGGTTGGCTCTGGACTGACTGACTGGATATTTTTTTATGTAATTTATGTTGTATGCGTTAACTACATGTTTGCAAAAACATGTTACACCATAAACAAGCTTGTGTTATGGCAGAAAATAGTTCGACGCCCTGTAGACTTTAGCAGTGGGACCTTAGCTCCAGGATAGCGGAATATCTATTATTCTGTCATTTTGTGTGTATGACCTTTAGCCCAAAAATTGTAGCAAATTAAAGCCAAAGCATTCGAGTAAAAACTAGGTAAAAATATAAATAACATGAAAACCTGGCTCCATGCTATCGAAATATAATCATAAACCGGTTAGTTTGTTTAAGACCTTAACTGATGTTATGCAGTTTATGAAGCTGAAGTATGATTGCTAGAATGAAGTCTATTATTCTAGCTAGGGCTGTAAATGAACCGAGCATTTCGACGAGCTGCTCGTGGCTCGAATTGATAAGAGCTTGTTCATGTTCGTTTGATAAGGTAAACAAACGAGCTTGAACACTTTTGATTAATACCTATGATGCACCGACACTTCTCCTCAAAGAGGCGTGCAGTGTCCGACACGTATCCGATACGACACTCGTTCGACACTCCTCCGACACGTATCGGACACTCCGAAAACGTGTCTGATTAAAAAAATATTAAATAAAATTGTACACGCGTGTTCGACACACGTATCTTAAATATTTTATGAAATTTTTTAAAATATAATTTTTTTATTTGGCGGGATGTTGGGATTTAAACTAAATTTTTTATTTCTTATCCATAACATCAAATCAATGTCCACACTTAATACATATTCATCAAATATTCTCATTTTCATTCATCTTTGGTAGTGAAGGTATTTTCATCTCCTCTCTCAGTGACTGATAAACGACATGGACGCCTGACTCTCGACATCCTAATATTAATCATTTTAAGCACAAATTTTAGGTTAATGACTTATTATTTTCAAATTATTTTTCAAAATATATGTATTCAATTTGTATACACTATTTTTAAAATATAAAAACTATAATACCGTGTCCAACTTGTGTCCGTGTCCTATATTTTCAATAATTGACGTGTCCCGTGTCTGTGTTGTGTCGTATCGTATTCGTGTCGCAGTGTCCATGTCTGTGCACCATTGATAAATATTTGATAGCTAAATAAACGAGCTTAAACAGTTTGGCGTTCGATTCGTTTATGTTCATAAACAATATCATTTAAAGCTCGCGAACATACTCATTAAGAAGCTCGATTAGAGTTTTGAAAATAAATATTATTAAATAAGTTTACTAATTTAAATATTTAATAATTTATTTTTAAATTCCCGCTCCATTTTCCTTTTTTTTCTCTCTCGCTCCCGCCTCAGCTCCCGTTATTCGCTCCTGGCTCCCACTCATGCATCAAGGGGAAAAAAAACGATTGGTTTAGTCCCACACCATGAATCATGTTCTATATAATGAAATATAGTGGGAGTGCATTTGAAAGCTGGTGATGGGTTGGGTCGGGTCTATTAAGATATCTTCTACCCTTGATAGACAGGCTAGACAATTCAGGCGGTCGATCAGCAAACTGCTCGATTTAAAAGAAAAAAAAAATTGTGAGCGGCCCAGCTCGGCTTGTTAAACGAGCTGCTCAATAAGAGGCTCGACAAGCCTAAAATGTACCAAGCTCGAACCTGAACACAAGTTGAGCTCAAACAGGAGATTTTTAAACGAGCTCGAGTTTGAACCGGTACCAAAGAAGCTCGAATTTTATCGAGCCGAGCTCAAACATGGTCTTGGCAAACGAGCTCGAAGTCAAATATGTCGAAACTTAGCTGGGCTCGATTCGTTTACAACCCTAATTCTAGATTCAAAAATTTGGTAGTGGTAAACCTTTTCCTCCAAGCTGGTGGAACCTTACTTCTATCAATTCATCTTAGGTCTTGATCTGCGATTTGTAATTGAAGCAAGATAATTGACCTGCGATTAGGCCAGATCTAGGAATTTCAACACGGATCCTTGTTTTCAAATTGGTGATTAAAGTTCTAGTTCTGAAGCTTTATGTTGTAGGCATTAACCAAGGATTTTCAGAGAAAAGCCAAGACTGGTTTCAAGAATTTCAGCAACGTGGCATCTTAACCAGGCTAGCTAATTATATGCGATGCTTGAATTAGGTTTCAGGGCCAAATTCTAGAGTAGTTCTCGGAATTTCGATTTGATATTGCCTTCTGGCCGAATATATGAGGCTCTAGCAAGGAACAATTGACTAACCTGGTTCTGAATTTTTTGTTCCATGATGCCTTAACACTGAAATTATTATGTGAGGAGACCGGACGTAGAACGCCATCCGGAGACCAACCAGAATGCGCCACGTCAGCAATACCGAGCCACGGTACCGAATGAAGGGGTGACGTGATGTATCCTTGTTGGTCTCTGGATGATGTTCGGCATCCGCACAGAATAATTAATCCTTAACACCAGGTTGGCATAATATTTGAGTCAAGCTTTATTTGGAGTAGTTTAATTTTTTTTTTTTTTTTTAAGCTTTGTTAAGCCACAGTTTCAAAAGTATTTATCGAAAAACAGCTTTTCAAAAGCTAAATTTTCTTTCTTGTCTTATAATGATTTTCTTTGAGGTGAATCTTATTGGGCATTTTATGACACTCATCCCAAAGTAATTTAACGGCTCTAAGGGACAATCTTCACCAATTCTTTTTTCTTTTTTTGGCATGTGTAGATCAAGCAACCCATTCTGTTTCTATCTGGATTGAAAGATGAGTTGGTTCCTCCATCGCACATGAGGGTGCTCTATGATAAAGCAGCAGAACACAACAATCAGTGCTTATTTTTTGACTTTCCTGATGGAATGCATATGGATACATGGTTCTCTGCTGGAGATCGGTATTGGAGAACTATTCAGCTCTTCCTGCACCAATATGTACAGGACAGCAGACTGAATTTCAAAGATGACCCTATGGAAAAAGGTAGTGATCTTATATAATATATATATAGCAAAAATACTATCTTAAAATGATTGTCTTTACATGCAAATATTGAGAGTTTTGAAATAATAGGAAGCAATTGGTTCCAAATTCCATCTTTTATCTTTCATTTTTCTTTAATCTAAAGAAAATGGTACTGATTAATTGATATTGTTAAGCACCGTTGCTTAGCTCGGTTGGTGGGCGAGTACGGTTGAGAACCGCCCAAACCGTGCTCAATTCCCCTCGAGTGGCAGCGCCTCTTAAGGCTTGGTTTGGTTATCCGGTACTTTTGTAAAAGGTAGTTTAAGAAACATCAGTTCAAATAAAGGAGTTTTCTAACGGAGAAGCATATATAAAAATCTTTCTTAAAACACAGAAAAATGAAAAAAAAATGATGTTATTGGGAATGTGGTTTGAGGAACCAAACAATAAATTTACCGTTTTAGAAAGGAATAAGCACAAAAAACGTCCGATCAAACTTGGCCTAATTGGGGCCCAATCAAGTGCGGGGGGTGGATGCCTCTTCTAGGTCAGCTGAAGATTACTCATGCCGCCAGGCGCCCTTTCAGGGGTGGCAGCGAGTGGATACTCCGTTCCTTAAAAAAAAAATTACAATGTTCAAGTATTACAAGATCTCATTTTCTCCTGCAACTTTGTAGGAGCCCCAAAATGGACCCAAATGAAATATGAACAATCTTTTGGTTTATTATAAATCTAGAATCATTTATTTGAGCTATTTGAACCTTCTCTTGATCAAATTCTAGACATCCAAACACAAACTGAAAGTTCATCACAACTTTCTCAAGCTTCTTCTTCATGTTGGTCTCTAATTCTCTCCAGATTCTGCAGCAAAATGATCTCAGCATTCCATAATGCAGAATCTACCAGCCACAAAGCAGGCCAAAGCGGTGCTTTTGAACCTGCTGCTGAAGCATGTCAATTAACAGGTTCAACCTGCTCTTCGGGTCAACCCGATGGATCAAAATATGATTTTTAACCTGTTACAATATTAAATGAGGCAATGTATGAAGATTTTATTATTATTATTATTTTGTTGATTTCTAATATGGTATAAAGTCATTATCTATGAGAAAGTTCCTCAGTGTATAGAGTATTATCTTTTCTATCATGCTGGTGAATTTGAAGTTACTGAAAGTGTTGAATGGTTTGATTGTATTGAAATGTTATTTTTGTTTGATTTTTAACTTTTTTTTTTTTTTTTTTTTGTGCAAGCAGTTATTTCTTCATGCTGCATCAAACTTTATGGTTTAAGAAAAAAGTTTTGTGTAGGGATAAAGTGTTCTGATAATGCTACAAAATCAAGCATTGAATACTTTTTTTTTCTCTGCTGTAATGAATACTCTAAAATATAGGGACTATTTGATTGGAAATAAAATGAATGCAAAGGGTATGTATGTATTTTGAAAAGTTTGATATTTGGTTGGTTGAAACAAAATTGCTAAGTAGATTATAGTAAATATAGTATAATATAATTTAGCTCATTTTTTAGGTAAATGATTCTCGCATCATTTTGAGTGAAAATGATTTACATAGCAAGCAAGATTGGTCACAACCCGTCGCTGCCAACCACCTGAGAAATTATTAGGTGCGGAGTGCGGACGGGAGAACCGTCTGCACACTAGTATAAAACCGCGCTCGGTACCGTTCGGTACCACTCGGTACCACTGGATACCGCTCGGTACCCTGTGTCTGTGCGGACGGTTCTCACCCCGTCTGCACTCCGCACCTAATAATTTTTCCAACCACCTCCGTTGTGGCCCCACACCCACTATTGATGACCACTCAAAGCTGGCCACCGCCGGCACAGGCAACCAACCAACAACCACCAAACACCAGTCGTCATCTGTCACCTGTAAATAGCCACAATCTTTAAATTTTATACTATTTATTTTAATTCAAATAAAAAAAATTATTCAGCTGAATTTATTTTAATCTCATTCAAATAAATTTAAAGTATTTTTTTAACACTATATTCTTTTTTGCATTTTTTAGCTTACAAAACTGCCTCATAATAGAATCTCTTTAATTAAAATTATGACTGATTTTAAAAATACAGTTTTTATTTTTTTATTTTTTCAAATATGATTAAACCAAATAAAAAAAAATTTAAAACTTCGGGTAATTGTAATTTAGAAAAATAATTGAAACATTTGAAACTTAATTTAATAGACTTTTTAAGACATAACAAAGTCATGCAAAAAGGTATCTTTAAAAAATATTAATGATAATAATGAAATTTTAGAAGAAATAAAAATCTCATACTTTCAAAAGAAGTAAAAATATTTAGTACAACCTTTATACTTCCATCGATAATTGAAGAATAAGAGTACTAACTTATTTTCAGTCGGATGGATTCTTTATTTTCCTATAAAATTTAATTATTTCTGAATGAAATAAAAAATGCAAACATAAAAAAAAAAAAAGGGATTTAAACAAATTCTTAACAATTTTTTTTATTAAAATTTAGATTTCCATTCTAACTCTAAAAATCACATAACATAAGTTTTCAATGACTATTTTTTATAGGGTGTCAATAAATAACCTGACATAGCGATCTATTTTAGACCCGTTAAAAAAAATCCGAGCACAAATTGTTTAAGTTATAATTTTTTTTTTTATCAAAACCATTTAGCATGTCAAGTTTGAGTCAACCTTTTTAACTCATTCATTAGATAGGTCATTCAGATTAGGGGTGTCAATTCGGGTCAGCGGGTCGGCTTCGGGTCCAACCCGCACTGACCTGAGTGTAAACGGGTTGACCCGAACTCAGACACGTTTGATTAAACGGGTCAGGTTGGCCAACCCGGACCCGACCCGAGCGGGTTAACGGGTTGACCCGACACGACCCGCCGAACATTTCCAATTTTTCTGTCTTCCGCGGGTTGCCCGGTTAACCCGACCCGGCAACCCGATAATTATTTTTATATGCTCTTTTTTGCTGTTAAAGAAAAAATGCACATTTATAATTTACAAGAATCGATGAAATCAACTTAAATACTTAATATGATTATAATATACAAGTTACATGTTACAAAATGAAATATAGTCTTATAATATAGGCTATTACTTACTTACATTATTACAACTTACAAGTATACTCTATACAATAAAATACAAGTTACATTGTTACAACTTACAAGAATATAAGTTATAGAAAAATATTATAAAAATAGAAATACAATTTAACTAAAAGTGTCAAGCTGGCGAGCTCATTTTTGTCTTTCACTCTTTACATAATTTAACCTGCAAGGCTGCAAACGAAAAAACAAATAAAAACAACAATTTGTTGACTACTAGCAGTCTAGCATCGAAAGTCATAGGCTCAGGGTGAACCTAGCAAAGAAACATCACCTGCAACAAGAACAGAAAATGTGTCATCCAAAGTTACAAATTGGTAATTTTCTATTCAATTAAATAGTATATGCTCAAACCAATGTAAATTACTTTTAATCTTTTACCAATTTATAACTCGGTTGCATCTAACTGTGTATAACTTCACCAAGTTCTTCATCATCTCCTTATAAACCTCAATAACATGCAGCAGTAGACAGAATATTGAAAACCTTAAAATCCAACATATATCAGCACTTCGGCAGCTGCAGGCTGCAGCTAAGAGCCTCAGACTCAATACACAATAGTCAATACCATATAGCCCATTGCAGGATATGAGCACGACAATTCTCAAAACCTGAATAGTCAACCTTAAAACCAAAAACCCAACAGGAGTAATGAGTTTGCATCTCAGATTCTCAATTCTCAGAGCCCAAACATTCAAACAACATCAAAAAATCTATCATCACGACAACAACACCAACGACCAACAATATGAGCAGGACAGCAACCAATAACAGCAAAACAAATTACTAACAGTCGTACCATCTGCAATAGCAACACTATCAACAGGACAACAACCAAAAAAACTTATCAGGAAGGCAACAATCAATTAACAATGGTCCAACTGTCCATCACTCCAACTCCAACACCGACAACAATATTATACATTTATACCAACAGCAGTTATCTCACGATAAGAGCAAATGAGAAACCCACTAATAGTTATACCGGCAACACCAATACACCATTATACCAACACCAGCAACACCATTAAACCAATTCTTATACCAACATCATCTATTAGAATAGTCATAACACCAGCCATTTAAATTAACATAAAGCAGAGAAGAAGAAATTAATCAAAACAATGAAAGATAAAGCCACCAACAGTCAGCATCATGCTTAACATTAACAACATAAAGCATTGAGTCATCCAGATTGTCTCATTTCGCAACATAAATTAGAACACTAGACCAATGTCTCAAAAGGTTAAGATGCTGAATTCACTGAGTCATTCATAACTCTCGTTTGATTTCCGTCTAGTTGGTACGTCTTGCCTTAGGCCTCTGTTATCTTCAAAAAAATTTTAACTCACACATTCAAGAAACTTTTGTTTTCTTGATTGAGAATCCTTGACATATTCAATGCTCTCACGCACCTTCATAACAGATGAATCAATTTCTTTCAAACCTTCCTGCACAATAAGATTTATTATATATGCACAACACCTGATATGGAAAAATTGACGATTGCACAGAAGACCATTTTACAAATTGAAATGATTTCGTAGAAAATCAACAGAAACAGTATTTGCAGAAGCATTGTCTAAAGTGATGCTAAAAAGCTTGCTATCAAGTTTCCATTCAACCAAAAATTGTTGAAGTTTCTCAAATAATGCTAGTACATCATGTGGAGGTGGCATGAAACCGAAATTTATCACCTTTTTCTGCAACCTCCAATTATTATTAATAAAATGTGCAGTCAAGCAAATAAAACTATCTGTGTTGATGGAAGTCCATAAATCAGAAGTTAAATATACTCTACCCTTACAACTAGATAGAAGGGCTTGGATTTGAACTTTTTCCTTAATAAACATCTTCTTGCAATCATTTCTTGCCGTGTTTCTAGAAATAAACTGCAAATCAAACCGTAAGTAATAAAGTAATATTCTAAAACCTACCCACTCCACACACTAAAATGGTAAATCATGCATGACTATACATGCAGTAAATAAACTACGAAATTCTTCATAATCAAATTTCTTTTCAATCATCGAAATAGATGTGCTTGAGTTACTTTGAAGTATAAGTTGACCAGTATCATGAGAGTTCTTTTTCTTATAGTTCTGCAAGTGGCGTCTTCAATTTCATGTACAATTTTTACTATCACATAAGTATGTTGCACCACATTTCTTATATTTACAACGATGTTTGACATCATCTGCAAGTGACAACATTTCAAAATGCCCCCATACCGTGGAAGTCGACCTCCTTTTCGTTTTATGAGCACTTCCCTCATCTCTTGGAATAGGATTGTTCAACTCATCACAATCACATTCCACTTCATTATCAGTAGGAACAAGCACATGCTCATTATGCAAAGAAGAATTACTTGCAACAAATATATTAGAATCCTACATCTAAACGCAAAATTGTACTCATAACATCAACAACATGCATCAATAATTCAAATAGTCATCATCACTTGATCACTATGATACTATCAAATAAATATTGCAAAATTTCATCCTATTCTTCATATTCCATAACAACGTAAGTACATAACATGATAAGACAATATGCTTATATAACTATCAACAAAGCATCAACTTATTCAACTACAATACAACATGCATCAACAACAATACAACATTATAGCAAGCCGCCAACTCCAGAAGGCCCAAGCGACTAAGCCCTAATCTCAACAGCTAGAGGAAAAGCAGAAAATTTTAATAGTACAACACTAAACTACACTCTAACAGTGTAACAGAACAACAACAATGTAAAAGTTGAATAATAGCAAGCCCAAATCCAATATTCCAACCCGTGCATGGCTTGCGATATAGCAGGCTAGCAACAAGAAGCTCGATTTGTCGGTCATGGCACATATACTCATAACTCATAAGGAAGAACTTATAAGAATGAAGGAAGCAGCATAGTCCAGAAAACCCATCACACGACTCACACAGACCAAATTAGGGCAAAATGAAAGAACAAATCCTCCATAAAAAATTTTTAAAAAAAATCTAAAATAGAAATCAAAACCGCCAACCACCATCACACCAACACTTCAAATAACTAAGAGTTATTCAAGATATTACCAACCGTTGCAAGTCACAACCGAGAAATGGAGAAAGGAAGAGGATTCAAGGAAGAATTCCAAAGTCAGATGTTTCACCAGAGTCGAGAGGTCGATACTCGAGAGAGGATTAGAAGAAGATATTAAGAAGTGAAGAAACCTCCATCAGTCCAGCTCCTCCACGTCCACAACTCCACCCCAGTGCCAGAGCGAGGAGAAATGAAACCCTAAAACGAGAAAATTGAAATCTCGATGCCTCAAACCGTCGAACTCGTAGCTCCATATTTTAACACCATTATAAGCTTCGCAGGTTATTCGGGTTGACCCGCTGGTCGACCCGTTTCCTTCACAGGTTGACCCAAACCCGGATTTTTCGGGTCAGGTTCGGGTCGGGTTTTCGGGTCGTGTCAGAAATTGACACCCCTAATTTAGAATTCAAATTGGATCTAATTCAAATCAAACCCCAACCCAACCTACTAACCCATTTAGATACCACTAACTCCTTAACTCCAACAAAAAATTTTCAAATGAACTAAGCAACATTAAAAGCCTTCTCAAACAAACATTACCTTATCTAAATGAGATCAAAAGTTATTAACCTATATCATAATTTTTATATATTTACATCATATTTAAATTTTAATATTTATTTATATGTCATTTTAACATCATAATTATTTCAAAATATAAACATATAGTTCTCTACTTATAAACATTTTAGTATCATATTTCTTTTTTCACCTCTTAAATTTTTTATACTCCAAATCTCTCAAGTTTAAGAAACTATTTAGTTGGTAGCAAAATAAATGCAATATAATCTCAAGTTTAAAAGCAAAATGAAAGCACTTAAGGCATGGAGAAGTTGAAAAGCAAACCCAAGAAGGCCTATCAATTAAATTAGAAATTAACTTTATTTAATTGATTTAATTTTATTTAATTGATGTGATAAGAATATTAATAATTAATTACTTAATTTATGACATACTTAACAATTATTTTTTAATGAAATGTCTTAATTATTAATTAATTAATTAACCTTGTAATTAATAATCCAATAATTATATAAAATAACAATTAAATAATTAATTTTAAAATTAACATTTAATAAGATGTATATAAAATAATAATTAATTAGAATCAATAGAAGACTTTAGAAATTAATTAAAAATTTAATAATATTCTTAGAAATTAACAAAGTATTTAAATAATTAATTAAATCATTTAATCATTAAACTAATTTCTAATTATATTATTTATAATTATAATTTAATGATCATTATTAAAATTAAAATTAGTAGATAATTATTATTTTAAATACATATTTAAATTGAAATATAAATTAAATTTAAATTTTAATAAACTAACCACCCTAAATCCTAAAATATGTTGTAAAACAATTTTTTAGAATTTATCAACCTTTAACATATGTCATACCAAATAATTTTTAAAATTTAATATACTCAAATTTTACTAAATCACACTAAAATTAAATACTAATTACTGTTGACAGACGGCCCCTTAAAAAATAGGCCAAAAACAAATGTCCTAACTTTTAACCTAGAAAGATCAATAAGGGGCTGTTTGGTATTTGATTGGATTAAGTCATAGTTTTTATTTTTTTTACCCCCCTACGCTTCGTCCTCGCCTGCTTCGCAAGGGTATCGCCTTATCCGCTTCGAGACGGTTCCCCTCTTAGGGGTGTAAGTGAGCCGAGCCGGCTCGCGCGAACCGGCTCAAACTCAACTCGTTTATGGGATCGCGAGCCAAGCTCATTTAATAAACGAGCTCGAGTTCGCGCTTGAGCCGGCTCGACTCATGAGCTCGCGAGCAGGCTTGATTAAATATTAATATTTTAAAAAAATTATTTTATTTATTAAATTTAAATATTAAAAAAATTAATAAAAACTACTTAAGTTTTATTTAAATGTTAAACATTTCTTCTTTTTTTTTTCTAAAATTTGACTAATTTTTAAAAATCTCGTCTAATTTTTAAAAATCTCACATAAATTTAAAAATTCACGCCCATGTCTTGCAAGCCGACTCGAGCTCGCCTGTCAAGCTTGTAATTAGGATTTACAATGAGACGAGCCGACGACTTGAGCTCGCTTTCCAACTAACGAGCCGAGCTTGATAAGGGCCTAGACTCGACTCGTTTGCACCCCTATCCCCTCTCCAACCGAAGCCGACTCACTCTCCCCAACTTGCTCTTATGACCCTTCCTTGTGGACAATAGTTCAAGCTAAGAAGGAATGTAAGAAGTTGGTTTATAGCCAAAGAAAGGAGGATTCAACCTCAAACATCGCACAAGGTTCCTCCCCAACGCTTCGTCCTCGCCCGCTCCGCTAGGGCTTTACCCTAGCCACTTCGAGGTGCACATTTTTGGGAAGTTTATTCTGTTCCTTTAGTTTTCTTGTCATTCAATGGATGTGGTTCTTCTATGCATGAGTTTCCTCCACCGACTTTGTTGGATGACAGCTAATCAAATTCGTTTGAGCTATCCTAGCTTCCTTTGTGGTAAAAATGATTCTAAGTCATTTATTGATGCTTTGGCCGATGGCTCTCCAATGTCTTTCCCGCCTCTTAAAACTTCAACCTATCGAAGTTTGCCATCATTGTGGATTTTGAAGAAGGAAATTTTCGCTCTTGCTGCTCCCTTTGAGAGTTTGAGTTTTCTTTGGTCGAAAAAATTTCGATTAAGCAATCTTTTTTGGATTCAATCAGAAAGTTCTTCTTTAATCTTAAGCTTGCTGGTGAAATTTATGTTACTATTTTGGATGTGAAGCATGTGCTGATAAAACAAAGTGATGTATATAATTGTTTTATGAAATTAATTAAGTGATGTCTTTACTTAGATTTATTGATTCAATCTATTATTATACCTATTTGAGTATCCTTTTCTAATTTGTGACCCCACCAATTCTCCCATTTTTGGTCGACCTCTGCTCATTGACAATGCAACTGTTGTGGGCTCTCACCCCTCAATTGCACGGGTTTTGATTGAACTGGATGTCTCAAAATGCTATTCCAATTATGTTTGGATCAGTATGAATAACTTGGGGTATGTTCATTTATGTGATCTTTATAAAACTTTCGGTCATGATAAAAAGAAATGTTGTATTTTCAATCCTCAAATTTGCATGTCAAAACTTGTATCTATTGAACCTCATTAAGTTAGCTCTCATGGGAATATTGTTGATGGTTTGAAAACCATGGATAATTTAGCTACCCCTAATGTGATTTGTGCTACTTTGTTAGATAATGGTCATGGTATTGTTGAAAATGCCGATGTTGTTGATCACAATGAGAAGGAAGTTGATCAATCGAATAGTGCTTTTCCTGATATTATTTTGCCTCTGCTTGAGTCGATTGCTCCATTGGGGAGGGCGATTGAGAATGATTCGATGATCTCTATTACTTATGCCTCCTTCAAAAAATTGTGGAGTTATTTTGTGTTGTGATGATGGTAATGTGGTTGACATTGTCTTGGTGGCTTCCCCTCAGGGCGAGATTGAGATTATTAGTTCTAACATTGTTGATCTTGTTGTTGATAATGAGCTAATGAATGTGAATGATAAAAAACTTTGTGATGTTAATATGAGAGTGATGAACATTGATTTTAATGAGTTCGATCCTTCTATTATTTCTCCTATGATGTCTCTTGATCTGATTGTGCCAATCTCCTCTATGTGACTGAGCATGAATGAACACATTGTTGATGTTCCAGTTGCTTCTATCTGATAATGCCTTGTATGCTCATTTAGGTGTGAGATTGGGGAACAATATTTTGGAGCAAATTGATTGAATTGAAGGCTCTCTATCCTTTCCTTCAGAGAATGGTGAAAAGAAAGTGTTTGATAAGGATAAATTAACTGATCTGAATGAAATTTCTGTTCATACAGTCGTTCAGATGAATAAACGTAGAAAGAAGAAATTCAAAAAATATATGTTTTTTGAGATTGGCTTTGGTGGCTCATGGTTTGGAGATGTGAGGTTACCGTTGTTGCACCAATTTTTTGATCTTTGGACTACAACTTTCGCTGGCATTATATCTTTGGATATAGACATTTGACTGTTGTGCATTTTGTGATTGCCTCTAACTCTTTTTTTTATTTGCTTGTGACTGACCTTTTTATACTATCTTGATTTTTATTTTCAGGTGGATTCCAAAGCTCTTAAGTTTATTTCTTTCAAATGCTCTATTTTAACAATCTTTGGAGTCATTCTGAACTTTCTTTTTTTTTTTAACTCCATTAACATGTAGGTAAAATCACACCAAGTAATGACAATTAGGGGAGCTTGCTCTTGCTCATTGTCAAGTAACCATCTTTCTTTCTTTCGTGCGCTTCTTCGACGAAGAATTTAAATTTAGGCGGATTTATTCAGGAAGGCTTCGGATTTATGCGACCTCAAGAAAACCATCTTGGCTGGATTTACCTTAAATCCTGCTTAAAATCTACAGACAAATCCGATACCAAACAGCCACTAAACATTAAGGGGCTATTTGGTAGAATTTAAAATTTCATTTAAGTAAGATTTCGTAAATCCTTCAAATCCAAAATTTTTGAAATCCTGAGGGACCTGAAAACTGTTTGGTAACATTCATGATAAATCCAATTAAATCTTTTGTGACTGTTTAACTGTTCATTTTAGAATTTAAGACGATTAAAAAGTTAACATACATTATTAAAATAATTAAAGCACAACAAAAAAAATTTAAATAAAAAATATCAAAACTTTATTAATACTAATTAATTATTTAATTATTATTTATAATATTTTATAATAAGTTTTTAAATTTTAGATCATATTTAATTCTATTAATTATTTTAAAATAATTAAATATTTAACTAATAATTTTATCATATTTTAAATTATATTAATTAAATTATTCAATAATTAGAAGTGTTACTTTTTCCCTTCGCACCTAAAATTTTCAAGAGTTCTTCGTCGCTGTTCGACTTTGCTCCTTCGACTACATTACCTTCCTGTTGGATCGGAAGTTACGACATTTTTTTATCTGAAGCAACAACGGGAGCTCGCTTGCTGTGAAGAACTTTCTCCCTTTCGCGCGCTTCGTCGGCCAAATCCCGTAAATCCGCCGAACCAAAGGATTTCGGAAATCCGGGATTTAGAGGGAATAGGCGGAATTTTCCATCCACGGAGGATTTCGTTTGCCGTGAGATTTGGATTTGCATTTTAGGCCGTTTGGCTGGATTTCGCCTAAATCCGGCCTTAAATCCGCCTAAATCCGCATACCAAACAGCCCCTAAATCTCAACCCTAGCATCCAACTTATCTGACTCCAAAATCTTCTTTATTCAAGTAGTTCCAAACAATGAACAGAAATTTTAAAAAAACATCAAAAATATGAAGAAAATGATTGTTGAGATCCTCACAAATAAGCGAAACCCAACTGCCCATTTTCACCATAATCAATTTTGCAGGAAACACTTTCGGTTAAGATTGCATTATATGAGCAAGAGCCGATACACACTATCCTGCACTCATCAATGCATTTTTAAGAAAAAACTGAATCAAATCAAGTAAAATAAAATCCATCAACTCAGTGAAAGAAAAATTAAAACAAAATGAATTTCTTGAAAACATTCTTGCTAGATCACTGAAATTAGAGCTCCGGATCTACGAAAAGAATATGGGGAGAAAGATTGTTGAGTAATCGAATAAAGAAAAATAACCCAAAAGTCCATTCTCCCTTACAGTCAATTTAGCAGGGAACGCTCGGTCACAAATGCACGCGATAAAGCAAAGCACCGATACATAACTCCTGCAAATATATCGTAGCAAGATCCGACGGATCGAGAAACGAAACCAGAAATCTTTCGTAATCAGAGCACCATATATTCTAAAAAGAAGTAAATGAAGCGAACTAACGCTTCCATGGATTCTAGCGATTAGACGGAGCCTATATAACACGCCGAATGCTTTAATGAAATGCTATAACTAGAAAATAATTTGAAGATGCAAGGTATACGAAGATTCAGTGGATTCGACGAGTAAATTTACATAAAGAGGAGAAACTGGAACAGAAAAACACTGCCGCAACTAAGAGGAGAAGAGAAATAGCCCCTTGATTCTGCCGCCCACTAAGGCTCCAAGAAACCCTAGATCATTACAGCCGATGATGTTGAACAGAAGGAAAATATGTATATATAGCGAGTGGCGAGGTAGCCCAAACCGGTTTAAGCCGTTCTCAATTTGAACCGTTCGGTGGTTCGGGTCAGATCGACCCGTCCATGGCATATGAAAATTTGGATTCAACTCATCTATGTATTTACCTTAAATTTATAACTCAGCCCAAAATTTCTCAAATATCGAGCTTTATAGTATTTAATATACACATTCTTTATGTAATTGTATTATGCAACTAATACTATAATTACTTGTATATCCAATGGCGAGGGAGCCCAAGCCTATTTAAGTTGTTCTCAAAGCATTTGTTTCACTACGTGGGGTCGGCTATATAAATCATTTTTCTTCATTGTGTTATTGTTAAGAGTCAAATTCTCATTTAAGTCTTAAAAAAAATGATCATTTTTAATCTTTTCCTAACCAAATATTTTTAGGTCTACATCCACATTTCCTAACATAAGCCAAATCTAATACATCTACTTTCCTAAATGATTCATCGGAAGGCCTCCATTTTATGTGACCAAATCATCTAAGGTGACTCTTTGTAATCTTGTCTTCCACTGGAGCTACTCTAACTTGTGAAAAATTATTTAATAACTCACAAAATCCCATGAACATAATTCAAATAATTTATTATATGGATAATTATATTGATTCAGTTAACCTTAATATATGTTTACTCTCTAGAGTCATTCATTTTGAGTATTGCACTTATACTAGTGACTCCCTTTTTGCCCCCACAGCAAGGCTGCGAAGCCCTTACAAATATCTTCCATCTCCTCTGTGTGGTGGAGTAGCTGAATCCCTTTCACATTCTTGGCACGGTGGATTAGCTGAATCCCTTTCACTTTCCCGATACAATAGAGTAGTCGAATCCCTTTCACCTCCTTGATACGATGGAGTGGCCGACGAAGAAACACTTCCCAGAGTTTCCCTCAATCAAAGACATTGACTTTGGAGGAAGAAGGTGCAATATCACATAGCAACCATATGTAGAAACCCCTATCACACACACTCTTATCTCAGAAGAATCTTCTCCCTCAATACCTCATCTCATTCTCTTTCCAAAGTAATTCTCCCTCTTTAAGCCCTTCTCATAGAAGTTTTTCCTTGGAAAAAATGGAAAAAGAATCCATAAGAAAAATTAGGGATGAATTTTAAATAAAGGCTCAAATTAATCCTAAAATTTAAGTTAGTCATTTCGATTTATATAATACAATAATGAATCATACATTAAAATTACTTCAAAAAATCCAAATTTTTTTAGCACGACGGATGAGTCACAATACAAAATGTTCAAATACATCATTCTAATTATACATTATAATACTTAGATCATATGGTACGATTAGTTTATTATTCTTAAGATTGTATAGGATGATTTTAAGGACGATCAAACATCATCTTTGCCAATTGTCTAGTATGATTGGCATCGTACAATATGAATAGTTCAATAGATCAAGTTTAGTTCATGATGATCCTTGAGATGATCGAATTTCATCTCTTCCAATCATTTAGTACAATCAACATTGTATTGTACAATCTACCATATTGATTAAACATTGATGTATTTATGCAATTCATTTTAATTATTATATAATTTCTATTATATTTGAATATTTTTAATATTTATTATTTATTATGTTATTAAGTCTATACTACTATTAAAGTGCAGCTTGTGATTCTCCCCATACATCATCCTGGCCGTTAAAAAATTTAATCTTTATATCCATAATTCATTTTCTTAATCATTTATCCTCATCTGCTTGCGAATCATAATCCTACTTTTCTTCTTTCAACGCATCCCTCCTTTCTCTTCGCATCCCTGCACTCTTCGTTCATATCAAAGCATCCTTACACGAAATGTCGCTTTCATTGTTGTATATACTTTCATATGCTCGCTACACTAAAATTGTCTGCTCCTCTCCCTTTGATTCGCATGAACGCTCCCCCATCAATATACATCTTTTAGGCTTTGAAGGTTTCTGCTTCTCTTTCATTTGGGCTTATGATGTTGTGGCCGCCGCTTTCAAGACTTCCTATGTCAGAGTGGTATCAAAGCTTAGAGCTCGAGTGGGATGGCGAATTGCACTAATCGGGTATGGGGCGATGACTATCGCAACCTGGACAACTTATGGAAGATCAGCTTGGCACGACAACTGAAATATTTGGTCGCAGAGCATTTCATGTTTTCAACTGAAACGCTCAAGGAGCTATAGGAAATTAAGTCTATGTTACATATCCAACTTCCAAATTGAGTTCCACAGCCGGCAACCATACCCTCTATGAGGAGGGGTTGTCAAGTCGAGCGAAATCCACGGTAGTTTAAAGCGGCAATTCAAGACAATACAAGCTCAGAGGATGAAATGAAAGCTTACTTGGATCCCGCATTAACTGATTCTAGTGAAGAAGAACTTCGACATGATCGGTTGAGACATCGTGCCATTGAACGCTCCCTCATCTCACAAACATCACAGTTCATATTTTGGTGGATGATATTGAAGTGTGAAGTGAAAATTTATATTTTAGATATGAGACTTATCGGATGGTAAGAGCAAAGCATCTAATATTTAGTGCTATATTGCAGCCTTATCTATTTGTAGGTACAAATGGGTGAAGGCGACGATGCTTTTTATTATAAGATTTTTGAGGTCTAGTCTAGTTCATAATGTTTAGAATGGTTATGGTTAACCCTTGAAAAATTCAACATATTTTCTTCCTAAAAGAAAGACATTTAATCGAGAGGTTAACACAACTATATGTGTAAGATTATTAGACCCTATGGAATATTAATTGATATTATTTTTTATAATGATGATAGATTTTTTCAAATTAATAAAGCGTATTTAGAAGGGTGTGAAGACAGTTGAATTTCAGTATACCTTTTCTCCAGTAAAATAATGACTAGTATGAGAGGATTATAAAAATGCTAAGGATTTATTCAAAATGCCCCGCCATCACCATTCACGAAAATGCCCCGCTCCTCGTTACTATGTATTTTTTTAAACAGATTTCATATATTCATGTGTACATTCATTAAATTTTTATTAATCTCTATAGTTTTTCAATTTTAAGTACATAGTGGTTATGCAGTAAATATATATTGATCTCTAATTCATTATTCTAATTCTGGTATTTTGTATTTTTCAACTATCCATATAGCTTTTTTATTCATTATTTTGAGAGCTTATCCATAATTACATTGAGGTTATAAAGTTATTTAATTCATCTGTACAAATTTATTAAACTTTGGTTGTTGTTATAACTTGTACTAATGCATATATGAAATGTTATGAATCATGCCCTCATGTTAAAGTATTATAATTGAATTTTTTTTATTTAATTCATGATGATAATAATTTGTTTTATTTCTTTTTAATACATTAATTTTTGATGCAGACTGCGTACTTCTCTTTGTGAACAAGATGAAAAATTGTTAATGTTTGTGAGTTTGTCTTACATTCAAATAAATTTACTTATAAAAATTACATTTATGTGGAATAATTTTCCATGCAAAGTAGTGATGGATTTATTGTCATTTAACAATTGCTTAGAGCTTACACAATTTTTTTAATTGCAATATGGTTTTTTTTCCATTTACAATTTTAACAATTACTTAAATTATTTTTATTTTCATTAAATTTTAATTTATTTTGTTTTCTCTTTGTTTAATGCTTGTTAGTATCATTCATTTAATTTGTTTTTCAAAATTTTTTTATCATTTAATCTATCAATATTGCAGTAAATTTTTATAGATATATTTGATATGGAGGGTCAAAGGAAAAAAGAATATCAAAGACAACGATATGCTAAAATGTCTTTTGAAGAAAAAAAAAACGTGATATTAATATTGCTAGAAAAAGAAAAAAGCAATTTTCTAATTTAAAAATTGCTTGTTTGTCATCGACATCAAATTGTTTAGGTTTCTTTTTACTAACCTAAATTTATTATGTTATTTTTAATTTATATTTCTTAATAATTAATATGTTTTATCTTCTAATAAACAGATATAGAAGCATCTAATATCAATGATGTTAATATTGATTACGACTCAAATTTATCAGAATTACACTTTCTTTAACAACAACGTTCATGTTGTTATTGTAATGCAAAACTATTCCACTTTGAACCACCGATATTTTGTTGTTATAATGGAGAAGTCGTGCTTACTCCGACAATTATTCTTGATCAACTATATAAATTATTCAATTCATGTTCACCTGATTTAAAAGAATATAGAAGTAAAATCAAAGCATATAACAGTATATTTGCATTCACATCTTTCGGAACCCATATAAATACAAATTTGGCAAATGCGAGACAAGAAATTTACACAATTAGAGCTCAAGGTCTAATTTATCATAGTCTACCTCCTATTATAAAAGGTTCAAATGGTTTATGCTACTTTCAATTATATATTTATGACACTGATGCTGAAACAAACAATCGAATGAATGTTATTGAAGATTTAAATCTTTCAAAAAAATTTGATAAATAAATTGATGGATATACTTTCTATAAATCCATACACACAATTCTTCAGATCTTTGAATAATAGAGATATGTTGGAAAACTTACAAATATGCATTAGATCTGATGTGAGAATAGATCAAAGGGTTTATAATGCAACTATAATATCACA